CTCAAAAACTTACTTTTACCAAATCGTTCATCCAGTTTATTAGATATTTTGAATCAGGTTATTTAATTTAATCAGTCGCTAGTACTATATAATAGGCTTATTGAGAAGTGTTTGAGTATTCTAATCAGATTCAATCGAGTACTTTCAAAATTAGGGCCTATGATGATACTAATTCTTGTGTGATTTGAGTTACTAAGGCCCGTTGAAGTATTCTATAAGCTAGACTACTATTATGAATTGAATTCAGGTCATTAATATTATGAACTTTGCTTTTTTGACAATTTTGACTATGCATTTCTTAAAAACTTACTTTTACCAAATCGTTCATCCAGTTTATTAAATATTTTGAATCAGGTTATTTAATTTAATCAGTTGCTGGTACTATATAATAGGCTTATTGAGAAGTGTTTGAGTATTCTAATCGGATTCAATTAAGTACTTTCGAAATTAGGGCCTATGATGATACTAATTCTTGGTGAATTGAGTTTACTGAGGCCGTTGAAGTATTCTATAAGCTGGACTACTATTATGAATCGAATTCATATTAATTCAGATCATTGGTATTATGAACTTTGCTTCTTTGACAATTTTGACTATGTATTTCTTAAAAACTTACTTTTATCAAATCGTTCATCCAGTTCATTAAATATTTTGAATCAGGTTATTTAATTTAATCAGTCACTAGTACTATATAATAGGCTCATTGAGAAGTTTTTAAGTATTCTAATCAGATTCAATCAAGTACTTTCGAAATTAGGGCCTATGATGATACTAATTCTTGTGTGATTTGAGTTTACTAAGGCCCATTGAAGTATTCTATAAGCTGGACTACTGTTATGAATCGAATTCATATTAATTCAGGTCATTGGTATTATGAACTTTGCTTCTTTGACAATTTTGATTATGCATTTCTTAAAAACTTACTTTTACCAAATTGTTCATCCAGTTCATTAGATATTTTGAATCAGGTTATTTAATTTAATCAGTTGCTAGTACTATATAATAGGCTTATTGAGAAGTTTTTGGATATTCTAATTAGATTCAATCAAGTACTTTCGAAATTAGGGCCTATGATGATACTAATTCTTGGTGAATTAAGTTTACTGAGGCCATTGAAGTATTCTATAAGCTGGGCACTATTATAAATCGAATTCATATTAATTCAGATCATTGGTATTATGAACTTTGCTTTTTTGACAATTTTGATTATGTATTTCTCAAAAACTTACTTTTATCAAATCATTCATTCAGTTCATTGGATATTTTGAATCAGGTTATTTAATTTAATCAGTCACTGTTACTATATAATAGGCTCATTGAGAAGTTTTTGGGTATTGTAAATTGGATATATTCAATCAAGTACTTTCAAAATTAGGGCCTATAATGATACTAATTCTTGTGTGATTTGAGTTTACTAAGGCCCGTTGAAGTATTCTATAAGCTGGACTACTGTTATGAATCGAATTTATATTAATTCAAGTCATTGGTATTATGAACTTTGCTTCTTTGACAATTTTGATTATGCATTTTTTAAAAACTTACTTTTTCAAATTGTTTATCCAGTTCATTAGATATTTTTAATTAGGTTATTTAATTTAATTAATCACTAGTACTATATAATAGGCTCATTGAGAAGTCTTTGGGTATTGTGAATCATATATATTCGATCAAGTACTTTTGAAATTAGAGTTTATGATGATACTAATTCTTGGTGAATTGAGTTTACTAAAGCCGCTGAAATATTCTATAAGCTGGGCTACTGTTAAGAATCAAATTTAATTTATTATATTAACTCGTATTATATATTAAGTTTGCTTGTTTGACAATTTTAATTATATATTTCTTAAAAATTTATTTTAATAAAATTAATATTTAATAAAACTAGTTAGGTTGGCTATTATTTATTTTTTGCCATTCTTTCAAGCACATACATACTCTAATTGTTGTTGGATTTAAATTACATCTTCTAGAAATAATTAATTCTTTAGCAGCTGAAAATGCTCTTTCTGCAGAAACACTTGTAGCTACTATAAATATTAAAATTAAAATTTTAAAATAATTATATTTATAAATTAATATTAATAAAATATTAAATATTATACTTTGAGCTGATAAATAATCCTTTGCCATTTTAGATAAATATTTAAATTCACATTCATGATTCTATATTTTAAATATTATTTTAAAAAATATTTATATTATTTATAAAAAAATTAAAAATTATTATTTACCTTCCACCATAATAATATATCACTAAATTTATATGGATTTACAGTTGGATTTCTTAAGTATATATCTAATTCATCAGTATATATAGTTTTTTGTTTTTTAAAAATATGTGGTACATTTTCATCTGATATATCTTTAGCAATAGAAGTTTCAGTTGGTTGATATTTAGATTTCCATAATTCTTGAATTTGATTTTTATAAATTTTAATATATTCTTTTTTAAATCCATTTTCTTCATAGTAATCTAATCTAAGTCTTGGATCTAAAACTAAAAATATAGTATAATATTAATAAATAAAAATATAAATCTTTAACAAAAAATATATATATAATATATACTTGTTCCAATAATATAAACTAAACTATTAGCATCTGAATAATATTTGCTTAATTTAGTTTGGGCTTTTTTAATTGCTTCTTTAATAATTAAATTAGAACAATCATTAATATATTTTTCTAATGTATCAAGTAAATCATGATAATATAGTATAACTAATCCAATAGTTGAATATTTGCAACCACTAATATTAATAGTTGCTTTTTCAAAATCCTAAATTATAAAATAAAATTAATAAAATATAAAATTTAATATATAAAAATTTTATAATACAGTATATATTTTATATACTTTTAATAAATTTTGAATCATTATAATTTGATTTCATTCTTCTTGAGATAATAAATACTTTTCAATTTCTTGATCAAGTTTTGTTATTATATCAATTGGCTAATAAAAAAATAATTTATTAATAATAAATTTTAATAAATTTAAAAATTTTACTTACTTCTC